CCGGACGCGGAAGCCCACGCCACGTGCGTCCACAGCGTGCCAGAGTGGACCGCAGGGCCCGGGCGTCCTCCTGAGCCCGCGGCCAGCAGCGTCCGAGGGGGAGGAGGAGCGCGGGGCGCGAACGCAGCTCTTCAGGGGCTCTCTGCCTGCGGGGTGCTTCTCCCTGGCGAGGGGGCGTGTGCGGAGAGCACCCCGCGAGAGGACCCCGCGGACAGGTCAGCTGCGTCCCTCCCGTGCTGGCGAGGAAGCGCACAGCCCCGAGGACACGGGACAAGCAGCTCAGAGCACGCTGGGGTCGGGCGCACTTGGGGCGCAGTCGGCGCCGACAGCGACCGCAGGGGCGTGTTTGTCAGCGGAAACCTTGGGGTCCGTCTTGCCCACACAGCCGCGTCCTGGGATCCGCCCCTCAGGGCAGCGTCCACTCTGGGCCCCCTGGAGGCCCCGCCCCAGGGGCGGGAGCGCCACGCCCCAATCTCAGGGGCGGGAGAGGCCGGAGAGGACCGGGGCGCACGTGCGTGCGTGCGCGCGGACCACCCACTACTGTGCCTCAGCTTCCTGGGCTCCGAGGCGCAGGCCACGTCTCACAGGCGGGCGCCCCGACACCCCAGCACCCGCCGGGCCCGAGGCCGGGAAGAGCGCCCCCCGAGAAGGCCGGCTGCGGCCCTGGCTTTAGCGGGGTTTGGGGCGCAAACCCAACCGCCAAGGCGGAGAGGCGGCCCCGGAACCCCCGCGCACGCGCGCGCTCCCGTGCCGAAAAGCGAGGCGGTTCTGCACCCAGGCGCGGCCACAGGCCACAGACGCAGCCCCCCAGAGCCCAGCCCCGCAGGCCCCAGCACCCCGCTTGGACGGTTGGTGCCCAAAGCGCCCCGTTGGGTGCGAATGGTCCGTGAAAGCGCGGCAGGAAACGCGTCCCACGAGAACTAGGTGACCGTGGCTCAGCGGCAGGAGCGGGTCTCCCGCAAGCAGCCCAGCGCGTCTTCCGGAGATAGCAACGTGCGGGGACCCGGTCACAGTTCCAGGGCGCCCCGAAACAGGCAAAGGGGCGCAGCGCCAGGGCTTCAGGCGCTGGGCTGGCGGCGCGCACCTGGGGTCTCCGGGCGCGCACCTGGGGTCTCCGGAAACTGGGAGGTTCAGGCGGAGCGTGGGAGGACAGAGGTCTGGGACCCCCTGTGGGGGGGCCCTGGGCTCAAGATGGGGTCACTGATGGCATCGCGTGAAGCCCCCCGCGTGGGCCACGGGCGTGAGCGCAGGACGGCGGAGGCCCGAGGCGGTGAGAGCAGAACACGGTGGAATCCAGGACGAGTTGGGGTGGCCCTGGGGCAAAGCGGGGAGTCCTTGCTGTCGCCCCGAAGTAGCTTTCACGAATACATGCAGCAACCGGCATTTTCACAACACCCAACGTGGAGAGAATTCGGGGTTCTCGGGGGCGAGGGGGGTCTCTCGGCAGCTGAGAACGTGGCTGTGGGCTGGGACCCGGGGGCGTGTCCTCGCGCGGCCCGGGGGCGTGTCTGGGTGCTCCGGGGGCGCCGGCGCACCCCCAGCCTCGGGCCTGGAGCTCAGGGGCGACTGGGGGGGGCACAGGCCCCTCACGGCTCACGCCGGGGAAGGAGGAAGGAGGGGGCGAGCGGGGAGGAGGAGGAAGAGGAAGCCGCGAGGGCCGACGTGGCTGTGCCATGTTATTCTGTTGATCGAATTCTTTTCTTATTGAGGTCACCTTAGTTTACCCGTGATTCAGGGGTACAGTCACCCCTCGCGGATGCATGTCAGCACACCACACCCGCCACCCAGGTCCCCGAGTCCTCCCGACGGGCCTCCCGGGGGCCCCTCCCCTTCCCCGCGATGAGGCTCCGGAGACCTCGCCCACCGTCCCCTTTCTGCAGGTGCATCTCGGTGCCGTTCTGCATTCCGCCCCCGAGGGCACCGTCTGCTCCTTCTCTGTCTCCTTCGGGCTTCTCGTGTCGGCAGCTTCCCCCCCCGTCCCACCCACGTTGACCCACATGGCAAGGGGCCACCTTCTGCTCAGCTTTGTAGTACTCCCCTAGGGGTAGACCTCAGTCCGCTCGCTAGTCCACTATCCTTTTCACGGCTGCATAGTATTCCCCTGTGGGTAGAGCCCCACGACTCGCTAGTCCACTATTCCTTTTTCAGAGCTGTGTAGTGTTCCCCCGCGGCAGACCCCCGCGGCTCGCTGACCCACTATCCTTTTCACGGCTGCATAGTATTCCCCTGTGGTAGAACCACAGCCACTCGCTACTCCACTGTCCTTTTTCAGAGCTGTGTACTATTCCCCTACGCGGTAGACCCCCATGGCTTATCCACTATCCTTTTCACGGCCACCAGCCCACTGTCCTTTTCACGGCTGCATAGTATTCCCCTGTGGTAGAAACCCAGCCACTCGCTACTCCACTGTCCTTTTTCAGAGCTGTGTACTATTCCCCTATGCGGTAGACCCCCATGGCTAATCCACTATCCTTTTCACGGCCACCAGCCCACTGTCCTTTTAACAGCTGCATAGTATTCCCCTGTGGGTAGACCCCCACCAGCCCGCTGGTCCTGTATCCTTTTTCAGAGCTGTGTAGTATTCCCCTGTGGGTAGACCCCGCCAGCTCACTAATCCACTATCTTTTCCAGTGCTGTGTAGTATTCCACTGCGGGCAAACCCCCACCGCCTTGCTGGTCTGCTATCCTTTTCACGGTTGCATAGTATTCCCCTGCGGGTAGACCCCCCCGCCAGCTCGCTAGTCCACTGTCCTTTTCCAGAGCTGTGTAGCATTCCCCTACGAGGAGTGCACCCACCCGCCTGCTGATCCACTATCCTCTTTCATGGCTGCATGGTATTCCACTGCAGGTAGACCCCCACAGGCTCGCTGATCCACCATCCTTTTTTCAAAGCTGTGTAGTACTCCCCTACGGGCAGACCGCACCGGCTTGCCGGGCCATTATCCTTTTCACCGCTGTGTAGTATTCCCCTGTGGGTAGACCCCCACCGACTCGCTAGTCCACTATCCTTTTTCACACCTGCATACTATTCCCCGGCGGGTAGACCGCACTGGCTTGCCGGTCCATTATCCTTTTCACCACTGTGTAGTATTCCACTGCGGGCAAACCCCCACCACCTCGCTAGTCTGCTATCCTTTTCATGGTTGCATAGTATTCCCCTGCGGGTAGACCCCACCAGCTCACTGGTCCGCTATCCTTTTCCAGAGCTGCATAGTATTCCCCTGTGGGTAGACCGCACCGTCTTCCCGGTCCATTGTCCTTTTCACCGCTGTGTAATATTCCACTGCGGGCAAACCCCCACCACCTCGCTAGTCTGCTATTCTTTTCACGGTTGCATAGTATTCCCCTGCGGGTAGACCCTGCCGGCTCACTGGTCCACTCTCCTTTTTCAAAGCTGTGTAGTATTCCCCTACGAGTACACACCCACCCGCCTGCTAATCCACTATCCTTTTTTCACAGCTGTGTAGTATTCCCCTGCAGGTAGGCGCCACCAGCCCGCTAGTCCATTGTTTTCGTGGCTGTATAGTATTCCACTGTGGTAGGCCCATTGTCCTTTTTCAGAGCTGTGTAGTATTCCCCCGCGGGTAGACCCCCACCGGCCCGCTAGTCCGTTATTTTTCATGGCTGTATAGTATTGCACTGCGGGGAGACCCCCACCGATCTGCTGGCCCATTATCCTTTTTCAGAGCTGTGTAGTATTCCCCTGCGGGTAGACCCCACCGACCTGTTGGTCCTTTTTCGTGGCTGCATAGTATTCCGCTGTGGGCAGACCCCACCGGCCTGCTGGCCCCGTATCCTTTTTCAGAGCTGTGTAGTATTCCCCTGCGGGTAGACCCCCACCAACACGTTGATCCTTTTTCACGGCTGCATAGTATTCCCCTGCGGGCAGACCCCCACCGCTCGCTAGTCCACTATCCCTGGCTGTACTAAGCTTGGACGTTGAGCTGTGGCCAGTGTGGGGTACCCAGCTGACAGCTGCCCCAGGCTCCCCTCCTGGGTCTTCCACGCCGCAGGGGAGAACGATTTGCATCTGGAGTCTGCAACAGCCGCAGCGACCCGTGTTCCCCCTCCCCGGGCTGCCCGCAAGCTCAGCCTGCCCCCCGCGCGCTCCCCCAGGACTCAGATGCGGTCATGGGCGCCTGACCCGCCTCCCGGATCTCACTGACCCTGTCCTCAGGCTTCTTTGCAGGGCTGCGGGGGACCCCGGCACCATGTTCTGCCGTCACCCCGAAGCGTCGCCGCCAACGTCGCGTTCCTCGGTGCCCCCACTCGCCCTCGCTCGCACCCTGTAGCGAGGGCATTGACACCCCGTTTGTACACACGCGGTCGGATAATCCGCCGCCAAGCAGCGCCGCCGGGTCGGGGTGAGCCGTGGGCGGGAAGGTGCCCCCCAAAACGGGCAAGACTCAGCGTCGACAGAGCGACTTTGCGACATGTCGTCAGCGGCCGCCCCTGGCCGGCTCATCAATTCCGCGCCCTGCCCCGCCGGGGGCCCCTTGTCCGCGCGAGGGGAGTCGCCCCCGTTTCAAGGTTGGGGAACGCGCTGTGGTCCCCCTGGCGCCCGCCCCCGGCCGCCCCCCACCCGCGTCAAGTCACAGCCCAAGCTGGACGCAGCCAAACGGGGAGCGAAAGTAGCCAGCTGGGTGGCCCAGATGGCCGCTTCCGCGCGTCCCCGAGACGCCCGGGGCCAGGGGTGGCCCCGCGCGCCTGTGCTCGACTCCACCCTCGCCGGGGGTCGGGGCCGGGGGCGAGAGCAGCTCGCAGGTGCGCCTGCCCGAGCTCCGTGCGCACAGCGCGGGGCGCAGGGAACCCCACCAGCTGCGCGCTCCCAGCGCGCCCCAGAGCGCCAGCGCGCGCGCTCCTGGCCCCGCCGGGGGGGTCTCAAAGAGTCCCAAGGCGCCCCGACTCGCGCCCCCACTCGCTACCGCTCCCCGCAGCGCGCCCGGCGCTGGAAGATGGGGCGCGTCCGCCTCCCCAGCGCGTGTCCCTCCGCGCTGACACTGCGCCCGCTGGCCAGGGCCCCCCGCCCCTGCCCCAGCGGCAGGACACAGGCGCGCGGGCCTCGGACCCGCGGGGGGCGGAGCTGCCGCGCCGTTCCTGCCTCCGCACCCCCAGATCCCTGATCCTGCAGCTGGGCTCCCCCGCGCCCAGCGCCCAGCCCTGTTATTAGTGATGCAAACGATCTCTCTCCGTCCCAAATAGGTTTCCAAATGCCAAGCCCCGGGCTAGTCACTCGGCTTTGATTCGCACGATGGGTAATTTATCCACAGGACTCCCCAAAGCCATCTGCCAGACACCCCCACCTCCCACCTCCCAGGGGGATGAGTCACCGCGCTGAGGCTGGCGGGAGAGTTGCGGGGGCCCTGTCGGAGAGCCAGCGACGCGCAAGCCCTCGTTTTTCAGGGCAGCCCGAGACCCAGGAAGGCTTGATTTATGGGGCACCCCCCCCCGACCACAGCCTGAGCCCACCTCCCCCTTTCCGGAGAGGTTAAGGGGGTCTGCTGCAAACACCTTCGCCTGGTTAGACCAGGCCCACCACACGGCAGCAGGCAATTTCCTCGGTAGCTGTTGCAGTGACACGAAATCCCTGAGTTTGTTTCCTACAAAAGCACTTTTATACCCTAGATGCTCAGAACAGGCCCCCCGAGATGGAAAGCGCAGGTCACCCCCCCAGATACGCAGAGCAGGTCTCCCCAACAAGTGCCGAGCAGGTCCCCAAGATGCTCAGGACAGAACCCAGCACCCCACAGTGCTTAATACAAGCCCCACGATATTGTCACAAGAGGCACCCTAAGATGCTCCCCGAGATGCTCAGAACCGGCCCCCGAGGTGCTCGGAACCAGCCCCCCAACATGTTGAGAACATGCTCCCCAAGACGCGCCCACAGCCCCCCAGATATGCTCAGAGCAGGTACCCTCAGGGTATCCACAACAGGCCCCTGGCGCGCTCAGGCGGAACCCCGGGGCGCTCGGCGCCGGCTCCCCAAGACGCTCCGGAGAGTCTCCCCAAGTTGCGTGTCGGGCAGGCGGGCTGCTTAGAGCTGAGGCCGGGGACCCCCGTCTTGTGCCCACGGTGGGGGTCTCACCGCTAGCCTGCCACGGAGGCCACTCGGCCCGAGTCTCCCCGGGGGGGTCCCCGTTCGGCCCTGCAGACACGGAAGCGCACCCCTGTCTCTCTCCCACGGGGCAGGACGCCCCCCGGCCCCTGGCCCCCCACTCCTGGGCTGCGAGGCCCAGGGCCCACTGCCCCCAAACCCCCGCACGCCCACGCCGACAGGGGCCAGGGGACATGGGGCGAGAACGCCAGGGGTCCCCGCGGTGCGCCCGAGGCCCCAGCACCCCACAGCAGGGAAACCGGCGCGTCCTGTTTACGGGCGCTTCGCCCCAAGCCCGTGTAATTACGGGGCGCGCGGCCGGCGGGAGCACCCCAGGATACGGGGCCGGCGGCGGGGAAGTGGCCGCTTCCGCGTCGCGGGACGCCGCAGCTGGGTATAAAAGCGGCCGGCGCCGAGCCCCGACATCGCCTGCTGCCGGCACAGCCTCCCGCTCCGTCCACTCCCGCCGTCCACTCCCGCCGTCCACTCCCGCGCCATGAGCTGCTCCTCCGGCTGCCCGGCCTCCGGCTGCGTGCCCGTCAGCTGCGTGCCCGTCAGCTGCAAGCCCGTCAGCTGCAAGCCCGTCGTGTGCCTGGTGGCCTCCGGCCAGCCCCCCTGCCCGCCCTCGGGGGGCTCCCAGCCCCTGCTGATCTGCAAGCCCGTGCCCAGCGCGCCCGCCAGCGGCAAGCCGGTCATGTGCCTGGTCCCCGCTCCGCCGTCCGGGGGCTCCCAGCCCATGATGATCTGCCAGCCTTCGGGGTGTCCCCAGCCCATGATGATCTGCCAGTCCTCGGGGGGCCCCCAGCCCATGCTCATCTGCCAGCCCTCGGGGGGCTGCCCGCCCCC